TCACAGCGTGGCAAGGTAATGCTGAGCTGTCCTTGCCTTATCCACTTACTCTGTTTATACTCTCGCCTCCTTTCTGACAACTTGCAGAGTGTCCCTGCCAGCCACTGTTGCACGGTCCTTTGAGAATACAGGGGTTCTAAATGCTGCCAGGAGTGCGGTTCTTGCTGGCGTCATGCCATCATGTCCTGTGATTTTCTTACTTCTTTCTTTTTTAAAAAAATATTTATTTATTTGACAGGCAGAGATCACAAGTAGGCAGAGAGCAAGTAGAGGCAGAGGGGAAAGCAGGCTCCCTGCTAAGCAGAGAGCCCAATGCGGGGCTCGATCCCAGGACCCCGAGATCATGACCTGAGCTGAAGGCAGAGGCTTAGTCCACTGATTTTCTTATTTCTTCCGCTTGCTCTGTACATGAAGGTTTTTTCCTAGTGCACTAGAAACTGGATTGCTTTTGAAGCTTTCTCGTGTGAAGCAGGGGTTGTGTGTGCGTGCGTGTGTAGGCACAGGGGTCGGGAGGACAGTGACCCCTCATGCATCAGTTCCTCATTAGTGTGGAGACTTGCAGACTCAGATCTGTTGCAGGGATCCATATGACAAGAAATCTTTCGTTTATTTATTTACCTAATTTAATAAAGAAAGATTGATTGGAGAGAGAGAGCAGAGCGGGGAGGGACAGAGGAAGAGGAAGAGAGAAACTCTAAGCAGACTCCGAGCAGAGTGCAGAGCCTGATGCAGGGCTCAGTCTCCCAACCCTGAGATTACAACCTGAGCCGAAACCAAGAGTTGGGGGCTTCACCAACTGTGTCTCCCCAGTGTCCCTAAATTTTTTTTTTTAAGTAATCTCTGCACCCAGTGTGGGGCTCAAACTCACAACTCTGAGATCAAGAGCCGCATGCTCTACTGACTGAACCAGTCAGGTGCCCTGAGAAATTTTTCATTTAAATGAGTTAAGACGTGTGAAAGGTCTCAGCAAAGTACTGAAAACACAACAGGTGCTCTATAAAAATTCTCAACCAGATTCCAGTCTGAGTGTCTGCATCGTGGACTGTCTGTATATTTTCTCTTTCCCTCTATGGGTATGAAGGATTGAGGATGGTTCTTAATTTTTAGAGCTCTACTTTCTAAGAGTGATTTGCTTCTTTCTAAAGCTATTTCTCCGTATTACAGAGTACATTTCTTTGCTGTTGTACGTACAATGTGAAAGTCCAGTTTTGTAGAATTAATTTAATGTGATACATGAGTTAGAAAAGAACAGGCCCATTTCTTTGAGAAAAGTCCCATTTTTCTGGGGCACTTGGGTGGCTCATTCATTAAGTGTCTGCCTTTGGCTCAGGTCATAGTCCCAGGGTCCTGGGTTCGAGCACCATGTCAGACTCCCTGCTTGGCAGGAAGCCTGCTTTTCCCTCTTCCATTCCCCCTGCTTGGGTTTCTTCTCTCTCTGTCAAATAAATAAATAAAAAATCTTAAAAAAAAATTTTTTTTTAAGATTTCATTAATTTATTTGACAGAGATCACAAGCAGGCAGAGAGAGAGGAGAAAGCAGGTCCCCCGCAGAGCAGAGAGCCTGATGGGGGGCTCAATCCCAGAACCTTGGGACCATGACCTAAGCAAAGGCAGAGGCTTTAACCAACTGAACCACCTAGGCACCTCCAATAAATAAAAAATCTTAAAAAAAGTCCCATTTTTCTATCTTGTTTTTAATGTAGTAAAATATTTCCGAATATAAGTAACAGTTCAAAATGACGTGAGAATATAATGAACCATGAAAGTAGATTATTCTTTTTAGAAGTAATACAGAGAAAATATTGTTGTGGCTTCAAATGGTTGATTTTGACTGGGTTGGCCATTGGTCACTGTACTAATTAGTTTATGGTCTGATATTTTTCATTGTCTTACTGACCTGTTTCGGGACAGAGTGATATAGTCAAAAAAAAAAAAAAAGTGGTTTGAGGCAAAATAGTACATTTCAAGCCCAGTGTAGGAGTCTGGGAGACCCCAAATAATATTCCAGAAATAGCTCTGCTCCCTTCCTCTTACCCTGTTCCCCACGACAAGGTGATGCCCACTGGGTACTTAGTCACATGAAATCCCTTGTTCTCTGAGGGCACGAGCCTCTTCATTGCTGAGCGCTTTCCCTACCAGCAACTGCAGCCAAGCAGAGCCCTGCCCACCCGCTTGGCCTGCATCAGCTCTTCACTCCCTTGGCTTAAGGCCTATAGACGGCAGTGAAAATGTTAAGGACTTCGGGAACGGTGACACATTTAAGCCGCATCCCGTATTAAGTTCACCAGGTCCTTTCCTGAGAGCAGATACGGATGGGACGAGGGGGAGCCATTACTAAGTGGCTCAAGGTCTCAGAACTCAGCAGCGGGTTTGCCAAGAGCCAACCTCACAACCAAGTTGTTCTTGGCCGTGGCCGTGTGGATCTGCAGTTCGTGTGGGTGCCACGGAAGAGTGGCCGCCTCTTGTCCCCTACTTCTAGAAGTGGTGATTTCCCTAGGAGTAGGTGGCAAAGAGAACGGGGATGAGCAGGGCAGGCGAAGATACCCACGGATGCCGGCACCGTGAACATGGGCAGAGGAGGACTGTGCAGATCTGTTCCCGGGCCTGGCCCGGCCTTCAGCTCAGCTGGAAGCCGGCACGGTCAGAGCCCACACCTGTCTGCTTGGTGTAGAGCCTCTTCGGCCCCTCTTTAACCCATGCCATTCTTCATTTATTGAAGGCTTCAGTTGGAATGAGCCAGGCCCAAAGATTTACCTTTGGAGGAGAGAGATGAAGTTCTGGTAAGATTTCCTAGGTGTCTGTGAACCTGCTTGGGGCTGAGCTGTCTCCGTCCACCTGTGGCTGATATTTCCTGAAGCGACTGAATTCTTCTCTTCCCATTTAGAAGTTTAACTGTTCGTCTGTGGCCTCATGTTGGGATTTGAAAGCCACACGTTTCTGCTGCTGCTCATTTCTCTAGGTCACTTTTCTGTTGCAAAGCCATCTTTCTCATCAGGTGGTGCAGGCCTCCCCAAGCTGTTCCCCCCATCCCCCTCCCCTGCTCGGTGGAGTGTGTGTGCTGTGGCGACGCCAGCCCCCCACATGTGGACGGCTCTGGAGAGTTTTCAGAGCAGATTTGCATATATCCCTGCATCCCTTGATGTCGTCCTGGGCTGTTGCTTCTGCCCTGAGTGTTTACTCACCGTTCTCACCCACTGGACTACTTTTCTTTCTCTGCCTATCAGTTTTGAGGGTGCTAATACAGGGTTTGCTTTTTTCTCCTTTTATATTCTTTTCCCTGGGGGCTGTCAGTGGAAAGGACCAAAGCCCGTACACGTGATGCTGTTTTCCGATGGCAAAGTGAAGATGACCTCAATGCTCTCTATAAGTCATCCCTGAGAGTTACGTTCCAGTCCCTTGGGCTCACACTGTCCGCAGAAGTTCTGGAAACGGCGTATCTTAATGATGACACCTGCCCCCTTGGGTTGAATTGACCGGAACATCTAGAATGGGAGGAAAGTGTGCAAGTTACATCCATAGAGTAGTTTTGTGATTTTGGTTTCTTTCTTTGCTTCCTTTTGTTTTGTTTTGCTTCGTGTTTTTGTATGGACATGATTCATCCCCCCAACCCATGGAGAAATAGTAACTTTTCCTCTGTATCTTTGTGTTCTCAGAATTTGGTTGCATAGCCCATTGCTTACGGAATAGAAGATGCTGAGCTTAAAGCCTATCTATAAGATGGTTCTGACACTGTTTAAAAAGGTTTTCTTTAGAGCCTTTTAAAGACTCCTTTAAGGTTCCCTGCGTCCAGCCAAATCATCCCCTGAACTCACTTCTCATTACCCTTCCCATCCCATTTCTGGTCTCCATGGTTCCAGATCTGTCTCCCTGTGGCTTCTGGACAGTTCAGCAAACATCAGGTTCCTGTCGTGCCCCAGGCACCGGTCTGGGGGCTGGAGATGCAGGAGCGAACTGACAGAGAAAACCATACTCATGGATAGCTGTGTCTCTTGGGGTCAGAGAAGACAAGCCAAGTAAGTCTTCTGCATGGAGGCCCTACAGACACTTGAAGACTGAACTCCCGGTCCTCCAGGTCTTCACTTCAAGCTCGTGCTCCCAGTATACCAGTGAAATACAGCTCAGGTCCTTTCGCCACAGGGACCGGTTATCTTTGGATGCATTCTACTTTTGATTGATACCGAATTGATTTTTAATAGATTGATTTTTTTGGGGGGGAAGATTTTTGTTGTGGTTATAAAGGCAATATGCACTCGGAGATGTTTTGGAAACTACAGATAAGTATAAAACAGGAAATCACCTATCATCCCATTACCCTTTGTTAAAATATTGGTCTATTTCCTTTTAGTCTTTTCTAACTTGTACTCATTTTGTGTTTTTTTTTTCTACTTATCATTGGCATTTTTGCACTCATTATATTCATAGAAATCATTCAAGTGGTTACATAATTTTCCAGACCAATTTTTATCCTTTTTTTTAAAGTAGAATCTCTGTGCCCAGCGTGGGGCTGGTACTCAGGACCCCAAGATCAAGAGTCTCCTGCTCTACTGACTGAGCCAGCCAGGCGCCCCTCCAGACAGACTTTTAAAGGTTAAGTCCTAAAAGACTAGTAAGGAGCCCTTAAGTGAGCTGCACTGCTTCCTTTTCCTGACGTCTCCAGCCTCCTGACCCCACTACCCTCTGAGTAATACTCAGGCTCCGTGGAAGGAAGGTGCGGGACTCTATTACCTATTTCCTGTGGATTCTTCTGACTTGGATTATTGTCGATACACTGCTTTTCCTTCTTCCCCCGTTCATTCTTTTGTGTTTCCTCATGATCGTGCTCTGCCCGTCTGTGGGGAGTGTGGCATTGACCGTGGCTTTCTCGTTACAGCAGGATTTCCAGGGCCACCTTCAAGGCTGTCTTCTGCTGGGTTCAGTCTTGAGGAGTCGGCTGGAAGCAGTTCTCCTGGTGGGACTGGCCGGTGGCCAGCACAGAGCTCACTCTTGTCCTTCGATTGCAGGCCTGCAGCTGAACCAGAAGGCGCTCACCACCTTCCCTGACGTGGTGCTCGTGCGGGTTTCCACCCCCTCGGTGCAGTCGGACAGTGACATCACGGTCCTGCGCCACCTGGAGAAGCTGGGCTGCCGCCTGGTCAACCGCCCGCAGAGCATTTTGAACTGCGTCAACAAGTTCTGGACGTTCCAGGAGCTGGCTGGCCACGGGGTTCCCATGCCAGACACTTTCTCATACGGTGCGTGTCCTTGGGATTGGAATGGACCTTCCCAAACCATCCTGCCTCTCTCTCTTTTCTCTCCCCAAAAGCCCTCTAGGGTCTTGTTGATTTGCAGCAGGAATTGGCTCATCTCGGGATTCAGCGTCTCAAGTCCTTAACATGGTCGTTCCCTCTGTCTTTAACTCACCGAGGCTGTGTGTGTGTGGGGTACGCACCATGTGCCCTGTGCCATGCGAGGTGCTGGGCTAGGGCGGTAAGCGACAGTGTCCTGCCCTGGAGGCGCTCCCCACTCATCAGAGCCCGGGGTTGGGGGTGGTCAGTGAACAAACAGGCAGTGTCAGGACAGTAAGTGCCATGATGCGTTAGTGCAAGGTGTTACGGGATATATGGATCGTATATACCATATATATCCTGCATATGCATATGTGTGGGATATATGCAGCTTTGGAGACATCGAGGGAGGCTTCCTCAGAGAGAATAGCAAAGCTCAGCTGAAGTTATCCCAGGGAAGCAGCGGGGACAGGGGGGTAACCCAAGCAGAGAGCGGAATGTAGATCAACCTAGAGTCAAGTGAGAACGTGACTGATGGGTGGTATTATTATTTTTTTTTTTTAAGATTTTACTTATTTATTTGACAGACAGAGATCACAAACAGGCAGAGAGGCAGGCAGAGAGAGGAAGAAACAGGCTCCCTGGTGAGCGGAGAACCCGATGTGGGGCTCGATCCCAAGACTCTGAGATCATGAGAGGCTTTAACCCACTGAGCCACCCAGGCACCCCAGATGGGTGGTATTTTGAGTAGTCTGTAGATAGATGGGAGATGGAGCCGAGATGTAAGAGGAGCTTATATGGTGTGTGAAGTAGATAGGGCAAATCCAGAGACTTCCAGGGTGGTGGCCTGATCAGAGTGCAGGATATCGCTTTGGTTGCCCAACAAGGAAGGAATCAGACAGGGCCGAGTGGAGACAAGGTATGTGGCGGCAGGCTTTTTAAGCTGTCCAAGTGAGCCATGACAGTCTTAACTAGTGGGGGGGGGTGTGCATAGTCAGGATGAAGATAAGTGAAGAGATCCAGGAATTACAAAGGAGATCGCAGTAACAGGACGTGAAGACTGGCCGGATCTGAGGGTGTAGAAGGAATCCAGAGTGATTCCGGTTTCTGGTTTGGGCAGCCAGAGGGGAAAGCAGTCAGTCACTGAGACCAGAGACACGGGAGAGGAGAAGCAGGTTGGTGGGCAGGGCGTGAGGGGTTATCCGGCAGAGATGATTTCAGTTTGGGGCACGTTCTTTTTGAGGCATCTATAGGATAAGCAAGTAAGACTGTTCCTTAGGCAGCGGATGAGTGGATCTGGAGCTCCTGAGAGAGGGGTGGCCTAGGGAAGTGGTTTTGGAAACGTTCATGATGTTAAGTGAGGTCGTCGAGAACTAGATGAGATTGCTCAGGAGACTATATAGAATGAAGAGAGGGCTGAACTGGACACCTTTTCAGGGCGAGTTTTATGTACATTTTACCACAGTAAAAACGAAAACTCAGTGAGAGGGTTCAAGAGGGAACCCTGGAGAGAGTGGGTCAAGGAAGAGGAAGGTATACAGGAAACCAAGCAGGAGCAGCTGGAGAGGTGAAGAGGGAAAGGAGAGACGACAGATGCCAGTGGAAAGAACATTCTGGGGAGGATGGTATAATTCAAAGTGTTGTCTGGTTCTGAAAGGACAAGGAACATAAGCGCTGGGATGTGTGTTGGATTTAGCCACAGGGACTCGGCAAATACAGCTGCAGATTAGTGATGGGGAGACGGCCCAGACTGTCAAGGGCGAGGGAATGAATGAGAAATGAGAAAAATGCAAACCTGTTTGAGTAGCTTGATGGTAGGGATACACGCTTGTGGTTAAGGGATGAGGCAGAGGCAAGGAATAGGGATTTTGTTTGACGATGGGAGAGAACGGGTTATGTTTAAAATGGCGATGGGTGGGGCCCCTGGGTGGCTGAGTCGTTCAGCATCTGCCTTTGGCTCAGGTCTTGATCTCACAGTCCTGGGATGGAGCCCCGCATCAGGCTCCCTGCTCAGCGGGGAGCCTGCTTCTCCCTCTCCCATTCCCCTGCTTGTGTTCCCTCTCTTGCTGTGTCTCTCTTTGTCAAATAAATAAATAAAATCTTTAAAATAGATAGGTAGATAGGTAATCGCTTCTCAGCTTTTTGGCTAAGATCAAGTGTAGATGGATAGGCAATTAAAATGGTGATGGAGGGGCACCGGATGGCACAGTCGGTTAAGCATCTGACTCTTGGTTTCAGCTCAGGTCATGATCTCAGGATCATGAGATCGAGCTCCATGTCAGGCTTCATGCTCAGTGCGTAGTCTGGTTGAGCCTCTCTCCCTCTGCCCCTCCTGCTCATGCTCTCTCTCATAAATACATCTTTAAAAATAAATAAAATGGTGATGAAACTGGGAACTGGGAGGTTGAAGACCCATCGGAGAGAGCACACTTAATGATGCAAGATCCCCAGGGAGGTGAGAGGAAAAGGGGTTTAGAGCACAGGTGCAGGGACAACCTTGGGTAAGAAAGACCCCTCCTTCACTGTTTTATAGGGAAGGGAAAAAGGATAGCTGGAGATGAGGAAGCTGGGAGTGCCCTTTCCTTTTTAAAGATTTATTTACGGGGCACCTGGGCGGCTCAGGTGGTTAAGCGTCTGTCTTCATTTCAGGTCACGATCCCGGGGTCCTGGGATTGAGCCCTGCTTCGGGCTCTGCTCAGCAGGAGGCCTGCTTCTTCCTCTCCCATGCCCCCTGCTTGTGTTCCCTCTCTCGCTGCCTCACTCTGTCAAATAAATAAATAAAATCTTTATTTATTTATTTGAGAGAGAGTAGGGGGAGGGGCAGAGGGAGAGCATCTCCAGCAGCATCTCCAGCAGCCTCCCCGCTGAGTGCGAGTGCAAGATCTCAGGGTCCATGAGATACGGGCCTGAGACACTTAGCTGACGGAGCCGTCTGGGCGCCCCAGGAGCTCCCTTCTGATCACGTGTACTCTTTGTGCAGATGCCCCTGATGATGGACACAGCCTCATTGTGGTTGTGTGTCCGTCATTAACACTTTGCTGAACCACAGCCATTTTACTGGGGAAAGTTCCTGCCCTGCCTGTGGGGCTGGTAGGAGGCTTACATGAGCTAGAACGGGTGAGGCCTTTGCCACAGTCACGTACTTGATCAGTGTTGTTTTCCTTATCTCTCTACTCTCACGGATGTTACAGGTGCAAAATCCATGTCTGTCGGATGGCACGGGTCTGAGTTGCTTTAATCAGAGGAACCTGAGGCCCTCAAAGAGTTCACACAGAGGGGGCCGCGCCGGGCGGACATCAGCCTGACCTTCCCTGACTTTCACCTTCTCTTGGCAGGTGGGCACGAAGACTTTTCAAAGATGATCGATGAAGCTGAGCCCCTGGGCTACCCGGTCGTGGTGAAGAGCACTCGAGGACACCGGGGTCAGTGCCGCGCCTGCAGGCTTCCCTTGGGGCCGCTCCCCTGCTGGCCTCATCAGGCACGGCCCAGCGCTGCTTAGAGAAGTGGAGCGCCCCCTCGCGGGGCTCGCGGTGTCGTCTGTCCCCCATCCCCTCCTCACTGCCCCCACTGTCCTTGCTACCTCAGACCCTTCTCGTTCACTCCCTGGACTCCTCCTGACTTTACTCTGAGTGGTCTCCCTAGCCCCTGCCAGTGCGTCCTCTTTTCTTAGGGAGTCATTTCTCCGAGACATCTGTCCTCCTCACTCCCTCACTAAAAAGCCCTTCCAAGAGCCTTGTTGCCTCTTAGACAAGGTCTGTGTTCCTCGCCATCGCCCTGAGGTCCGGTAGCGTCATCCTTCCTTTGCAGCTTTCTCTGGCCACGTGCACTCTCCATCGTCCACTGTCGACTACTTTGCTAGCTAGACCACGTATTGTCTTTAAACCTCTGCCCTATTCCTTTGCTGGTAGTGCTGTCTTCCTCTGGCCTCTGGTGAACCTCTGCTCCCCCATGAGGGCCTGCTGGCCTCCCACTCCACTGTTGTTTCTTTCTGCTCCACGTGCCTGGTCCTCCTCCCTCCCCACCAGCTCTGCCTTTGTGTTTCCTTTGTGATCGGTCCACGGCTCTAGCACAGCACTGCCCGTTATGACAGTTACAAGTGCGTGTGCGTCTCCCCTTGGCTGGCAGGGCGCTGCTCAGGGGCGGGAATCCGGTCCGGGGCCTCTTGGTCCCGGGGACCTGCTGCAGAACTCGGCGTGGAGCAGGGACTGGTGATGGAGAGGAGCTCGCATGCAGCAGGAAGCTCTCCCACAGCCCGGGGGCAGGTCCCCCGCCCGCCCGATGTAACTTCCACGCTCAGGGCATCTGTAGTGAGGGGAGGCCCCCAAAACAGACACGTGCTGAGCAGTTCCTGTGCCGTAGAGACAGGGCAGTGAGATGAACTAGACTCGGTCCCTGCTCTCAGGGAGCTGCAGTGTGCAGGGAGTAGAGACGGTGGCGTCGATCACCTCCCTCGCAGGCTGGTCCAGCACCTGCTTGCACTGGACAGAGGCCACAGGGCGGGGAAGGCCTCCCTGGAGGAGGAGGAGACTGAAGTTGGAGAGTGGAATTCAAACTGGAGGAAGTCAGTAAGCGAGCGAGCATATGGAGGCAGGTGTTAGCAAAGCCACCCGTGGGAGCCAAAGGGTCCCGTTGAGGAGAGAGGAACGAGTTTGGGGGGGCAAGGGGGGCCCTTAATGCTATTCAGTAGATACGCTACAGTGCTAAAGTTCAATGTCTAATTTTTTTTTATTGTGCTAAAGTATACGTAATTGAGAATTCAACTAATATTTATTGAGTGCCCACGGAGTGCCAGGCACTGTTGTAGGCCCTGGGGATACAGAAAGGAACAAAACAAAAACTGTCCTCAAGGAGCTCCCATTGTAGAAGGGTAAAACAGACAATAAATGGAAATTAAGTAAAATATGTGGTATTTTCAAACATTAAAAATTGAGTTATGGGGCGCCTGGGTGTCTCAGTCGGTTAGGCATCTGACTCTTGATTTCGGCTCAGGTTATGATCTCAGGGTCATGACATTGAGTCCTGCGTCAGGCTCGGTGCTGAGTGTGGAGCCTGCTTAAGATTCTCTCTTTCCTTCTCTCCCTCTGCCCCGCCCACTCCCACTTGCTTGCTCTCTCTCAAAATAGAAAAATAAAAAAAAATTTAAAAATTGAGATGTAATTCACATAACAAACAGTTCACCATTTTTAAGTGTACAATTTAGTGGATTTTAGTATATTCACTATCGTGTCCAATCGTAGCCATTATCTAATTTCAGAATATTTTCATCCCCCCCAAAAAACCCCTGTACCTAATAGGGGCCAGTTGCACTTGCCTCCCCTGGACCCTGGCAACCACTCATCTACTTTGTGTTTCTATGTATTTGCCTATTTTGAACATTTCTTATCAGAGAATCGTCCAGTATGTGACCTTTTGTGTCTGGCTCCTTCTACTTAGCGTGATGTTTTCATGGGCCATCCATGTCGTGGTGTGGATCAGTCCTGCATTCCTTCTTATCCCTCCATAATAACCTGTTGTATGGCTTGCCCATATTTTGTTTATCTGCTTGTTAGCTGCTGGACATCTGAGTTTTTCCCATCGAGGCTTTATCAATAATGCTGCTGTAAACATATGTTTTCCTTTCTCTCGGGTATCTACCTAAGCCTGGAATTGTGGGGTCCGACAGTAACCCTATGTTTAACCTCAGAGGAACTGCTGCACTGTTTTCTACAATGGTTATGTCATTTTACAGGCCCACCAGCAGTATATGAGGGTTCTGATTTCTCATCATTCTTAGTAATCCTTGTTTTATTCATTCACTCCTTTATTTATGATTGGGGTTTTTTTTGGAGTACTAAATAAAACTTTTTTTTTTTTAAGATTTTATTTATTTATTTGAGACACATAGAGCACAAATAGGGAGGCGGAGCAGAGGGAAAGGGAGAAGCAGGCTCCCTGCTGAGCAAGGAGTCTGATGCAGGACTCACTCCCAGGACCCTGAGGTCCTGACCTGAGCTAAAGGTAGCCACTTAAGTGACTGAGCCACCCAGGGCGCCCCTAAATAAAACTTTTGACTGTATATATTTGAACATTTATAGCCTGAAAAGTGGGCAGGCCTAACTCTTAGAATATACATATATGAATGTCCTCTTTGCCTTGACAAATTAAGCAAATAGTCACCATACTTCTACCATAAAAGCAAGCCACAAGCCAAAATACATGTTTCCCAAGCATTAGTAATATAGGGGCCCACTTCATTTATTGATTTTTAAATGAATTCTTAAAATCTTTTTTGAGATCTGATTGATTACAGTATAATGACTGAATGTATACATTGAAGAATGGTCAGCACAGTAAGTCTAGGTAACATCCGTCACGTACAGAATCTTTTTCTTATGATGAGAATTTTTAGCAACTTGCGCATTTGTGTTTTGTTTTAATTCTCACCATCCCAGTGAGCGGAAGGAGGCATCTTACTGTGGTTTTGCTTTCTATTTCCCTAACGGCTAGTGATGTCGAGCATCTTTTCATGTGGTTATTAGGCATTTGTAGATCTTTGGACAACTGTGTATTCAGATCCTTTGCTCACTTTTCAGTTGGGTTATTGGTGTTTTGATTGCTGAGGTTTGTTTGTTTTTCTGTTTAAAGATTTATTTATTTATTGGGGGGAGGGGCAGAGGGGAGAGAGAGAGTGGATTCCACGCTGAGTGCAGAGCCCAGCTCAGAGCTCAGTCTCATAACCCTGAGATCAGAGTCTGAGCCAAAGCCTGGAAGAGCTGGATGGTCAACCAACTGCACCACCCAGGGGCCCCTTTTTTATTGTTGAGGTTTTTTTTTTTTTTTTTTAAAGATTTAATTTATTTATTTGGCAGAGAGAGAAATCACAAGTAGGCAGAGCAGCAGCAGAGAGAGAGGTGGAAGCAGGCTCCCCGCTGAGCAGAGAGCCCGATGCCGGGCTTGATCCCAGGACCCTGGGATCATGACCTGAGCCGAAGGCAGAGGCTTAACCCACTGAGCCACCCAGGCGCCCCTATTGCTGAGTTTTTAAGAATTCATAACATAGGGACGCCTGGGTGGCTCAGTTGGTTAGGCAGCTGCCTTCGGCTCGGGTCATGATCCCGGCGTCCTGGGATCGAGTCCCACATCGGGCTCCTTGCTCATCAGGGAGCCTGCTTCTCCCTCTGCCTCTGCCTGCCATTCTGTCTGCCTGTGCTCGCTCTCTCTCTCTGACAAATAAATAAATAAAATCTTTAAAAAAAAAAAAAAAAAAAAGAATTCATAACATAACGGACATCATTTGAACATGTTTCTTCCCCACCCTGTGTTGTCTTTTTACTTTCTTGATAGTGTCCTTGGATGTAGAGAAGGTTTTGATTTCAGTGGAGTTCAGTTCATCTGTATTTTTCCGGTGGCTTGTACATTTAGTTGTCATTTTGTGGCTACCTAATCCAAGGTCACACAGATTGATACTTAGGTTTCCTTGTGAGCGTTTTATAGTTTTAGCTCCTACTTTGGGTCTTTGATCCCTTTGGAGCTAATTTTTTATATGGAGTGAGGCAGGGGTCCAGCTTCCTTTGTTTACGTGTGGATATCCAGTTTTCCTGGTATTATTTGTTAAAGACAATTCTTTCCTTGATGGGATGCCTTTATAACTCTTGTCAAAAAGCCCCTGACCTCTGTGTGAGGCTCTGCTCTGGGCTCTCAGTTCTATTCCGTTGATCCATGTGTCTACCCTCCTATGCCAGGCCACACTGTCTTCATGACTGTAACTTTGCAGTAAGTTTTGCAGTTGGGAAGTTGGACTCCAACTTTGTCCTTTTACTCTTTTTTTCAAGATTGTGTTGGATATTTGGGATCCTTGCCTTTCTGTATGAATTTTACAGTATAATGTAAAATCTGCTTGTCAACCTCTGCAAGTTGGTGGGGACTGTGTCAGATCTGTAGATCAGTCGAAGTGTTGCTGTCTTAACAATATTAAGTCCTCTGGTCCCTGAACAAGGGGCTTCTTTCCATTTATTTAGCTCTTTAATTCTCTCAGAAATGTTTTTTGTTTTTTTCTTTAAGAAGCAGCTTTTTTTTTTTTTTTAAAGATTTTATTTATTTATTTATTTATTTGACACAGAGAGAGAGAGAGAAATCACAAGTAGGCAGAGAAGCAGGCAGAGAGAGAGGGGGAAGCAGGCTCCCCGCTGAGCAGAGAGCCCGATGTGGGGCTCCATTCCAGGACCCTGGGATCATGACCTGAGCCAAAGGCAGGCAGAGGCTTAACCCACTGAGCCACCCAGGTGCCCCATCTCAGAAATGTTTTATAGTTTTCAGTAATAAGTCTAGTTCTTCTTCGGTTAAATTTATTCCTAATGTTTTTGTTCCTTTTTGATACGCTGGTAAATGGGATTGTGTTCTTAATTTCGTTTTCAGGTTATTCATCACTAGTGTAACATGTCGTATCTTAGGGAAAATGGACGGGGAGTAGACAAATGATAGCGGTAGTTAGACCCTAGTATATGGAAATAGATCTAAAGAAAGCAGTGGAATGGTACAGCTCTGCCCCTGAGAAAGCTACTAATCTTGTAGACTTTTATTTCGCTCTACTGTAAAACAAAAATAACTATCCTGTCCTAATGGCTTCTTAGGGCTAGTATGAGGTGTAAATGAAATAATGAGAAAACAATGTGTTTGGCCCAGGGTGGATGATTAATCTTGGTCCTCTTTCCCACCCTCTCCCCCCTTTTCCTCTGTGCCTGGAAACTATAGCTCCTTTATTAATTTTTCAAAAGATTTTATTTATTTATTTGACACAGAGAGAGAGAGAGAGCACAAGCAGGGGGAGCAGCAGGCTCCCAGCCTGAAGGAGAGAGGGAAGCAGGCTCCTAGCTGAGCAAGGAGCCTGGCGCAGGACTCGATCCCAGGACCCTGGGATTATGACCTGAGCCGAAAGCAGCTGCCTAACCAACTGAGCCACCCAGGCATCCCGCTAAAGCTCCTTTAGTAACTGCAGACTAAACCTGCCACCTGCCAGGAACCAAGGAACCAAGTCCCTGTATCAAGCCCCCATCTCTGTGAAAATCGTACCTAATGTCCAGGGAACCCCCAGGGCCCATACTTGAATCCCAGCCATCTGTGGTCAGATGCCAGATCTCCTGGTGCCAAGTGTGCAGTGATGGAGACATGTGTTAGAGGTTACTTCTCAGTCTTCTGTACCCCTAGAGGCTGATACCCATCACTCTTGTTACTAAGACTTCAGAAAGGTCCCACTCCTTTTAGTGTGGTGACACAAATCTTAGGAAAACCTTCTCTTTGTTCCATAACAGGAAGGCACAGACTAGGTGTGCTCATGTCGGATTTGCAGAGCAAACCTCTGAGGAAGCCCTTCTCCGATCTGTCAGCTAATATGCAAATGGGAAAGCAGATGTTAATGTAATGATAAAAGCACTGTGATTCAAGCAGAAAAGAAAGGATTTGGAGTCAAGCAGGAATTCTATCTCCAGATAGCAATAGGAGTATAGATCATTCCATTTAGAATTAAACAGGTATAGCCAGATAGTTTTCTTACACTTTAGAGGAGGAGGGAGTCTGTCGGGGGCTCCCTCTTTGAACTCCCATAGTGTTGGCATAGATCTCTGTTAATGCTTTATCATGCTGTATTAGAGTTCCCTTTTGTGGGTCTCTCTCTGCCTAGCCTTAGAATTCCTCTAAGTGTGTTCAGTTAATTATGTTCTGTAAACATGGATTGACACCTGCTTTGTTCTTCGAGCCTGGTGTGAGGTTTGGGGGATTAACAAAGTGGTTAGAGACGGACTCTGCCTCATCAGCATCCTAGAGTGATAGGAGATGCTGACTGCTTTTGGAACTGAGCTGACTAGATCCTCAGGATTTTATTTTGGCCTTGCCTCTGTGTTTCTGGAATAACCTCATTATTCCATCCTGAAAAAAAAGGGTTGTGGTGAGGGGAGAGAGGGACGTGAGTAAAACCAAGAGAAAACAAGGTTCCGCGGCCATTTGGTAAGAACCAAGAGTCTGGTCAGAGAAACAGAAGGGGCCGAGGAAAGGCAGGTTCAGAAAGAACCGACAGCTGTGTGGGACAGGGAGACGGGAGGGCAAGGACTCTCCTCAAAGGCTTCTCTGACTACTCCTCTTGCTCTTTATCTTTCTTTTTAAAGGAAAAGCTGTTTTTCTTGCCAGAGATAAACATCACCTCTCAGATATCTGCCATCTGATCCGCCATGATGTGCCCTACCTGTTCCAGAAGTATGTGAAGGAGTCACACGGCAAAGACATCCGGGTGGTGGTGGTAGGGGGCCGGGTGATAGGCTCCATGCTTCGCTGCTCCACTGATGGACGGATGCAGAGCAACTGCTCCCTCGGTAAGGGACAAAAGCTCTCAGTCCATTTTCTCACTACGATTTTTCCTTAGGGTATTTGCACCCGTTCAGTACATGTGGATCGAGCCCTCCTATCTTGTCAAACCCTCTGTTAGGCTCCAGGATCACAGATAAGGATTAGAAACAAGCCCTGTCCTGTCACAGCAAGCACCCCAGGTAGGGGACAGATGGGTGTAGGTGCTGTGACAGAGGTCAGGCCTAGGTATCAGGGCACTGAGATGGAACCCTCTCTGGTAGGGGTTGGAACTCAGCAGTTGGGTTTCACCCAGGGAGTGACATGAGGATCCATGTTCGAGAAAAACCGACCTATGGGTAGAGAAGGGACTGAAGGCAGAGACAAGGTGGAGGAGTTCGGAAGATTTTTACAGTTGTTTGGGCAGGAGGTAATGACCGTGTGCACTGAGGCAGTGGCAGAAGGCAGAGCGCGTCCTGCTTTTGCATTGTCATTGAGGATTGGGTTTTCCTTACACGTTTGATACAGGGAGAAAGCTGCAGTTTATGTTCGGATCAGAAGCATAACCCCATCTCATGAACCTGTTGTTCACCTTGTTTTCTGTTGCGGTGCATGGAGACATTGCAGGAGGGATGTAAATTCTTGTCCTCATCACAGAAAGCTTCCGTCATCCTCACTGAATGAATGTGTCTGTTGGTAATACGATAAAACACATGCCCAGGATTAGATCCTAACTGGCCCTGTGGGTGTACCAAGGCTCGTGAGGAACAGAGGCTGAGATGCAGTTTGGTCCTTCCTTCACGAATACCGGTAGAGAGCATTCGCCACCAGTGGACTCCACGAGAGTGCACTTAACAGAGAGAGTGCCTGCCCTGGGACAGCTGCGGTCCCACAGAGGACAAGACCCGAAAGCAGGTCATTGCAAGATACTGTGATGTAGTGTCGTGATGGGGGCAGATGCCACGCTCAGGCTGACACAGTGATGTCCTTTCCAACATCTCCTTTTCGTGTGTGGTACCACCCAATGGAACCTGGTGTTTTATGTTGTCCTTTTTAGTCACCATATGATATGCATTCTTTAACGAGGTAGGAACCAGATGGTTTTGCCATTTATCCTTGTTGCTTTTCCTGGTGAGCTAGTCTGAAACTCTTTTATAGCCTTTTCCTTATGCATTCGAACAGGTGGGGAAGGGACCTGTTAAGGTGAAGGCATTAGTTGTTGGACCTTAGAATATAGGTCTTAAGTCCTTCCAAGGAGACTTTTGAACCTGAGGTTAGCTCTGTCGTAGGTGAGGGCAGTCAGACTCTCTGTCTTTGGCATAGGATTTTGTCTCACAAGCCTTTCCATCCCCCTCTTCCTAAAACATAATGTTAATTTTTTTTCAGATTTTTTTTTTTTTTTAGAGGTGGTGGGGAGGGGCAGAGGGAGAGAGAGAGAATCCCAGGCAGATTCCTTGCTGAGCATGGAGCTCGACAAGGGGCTCAGTCCCACGACCCAGAGATCGTGACCTGAGCTGAATTCAAGAGTCGGATGCTTTACTGACTGAGCCAACCAGGCACCCCAACATAATGTTAATTTTGCTTTTTCTGTGCAAAAGGAATCCATTTTCACATAGAAAATTTGGAGAACATGGCACAGTCCAATGAAAAAAATACTTATCATTAATCCCACCCTTTAAAGACAGGCGTTGTTAACATTTGTGTATTGTTCTTTCCAGCAAGATCTTTTGCACAGTTGTGGTCATGCTGCAGAGTCTTAAATCCTTCCAGTATTTTTCCATGGGATCACCAGTGCTCTATGAGCATTATTATTCATGATTGTAAAATATGCTGCTTTCCTCTGTTGGGAGAGATTTGTGGTTTTTCATTTACTTACCAACAAATGTTTAGTGAGTGCCTATTATGTCTCGGGATTTTGATTTTCCAGTATTTTAAATAACCCTGCCATCAACATCTTGGTGCATAAAGCTTTTTTCCATTACATAAGATTATTTCCTTAGTGGTAGGTCAGAGGAAATAAACATTTTAAAAACTCTTAGATAAGAAATGGCCCTATTGTTTTCCCAAAGGGCGTCCTGATTTCCAAGCAGATCTTCTGTGAGTAATAAGAATGGCTGTCTCCCTGCCCCATCTCCGTATGGCCCTGTCTCTTCTTTGAAGGGTCATCGTGTCCCTGGTGTTTGACGTCACCATTATGTCACTGCATTCCCCACAGGCGGTGTGGGTGTCATGTGCCCGCTGACAGAGCAAGGCAAGCAGCTGGCTGTTCAGGTGTCCAACATCCTGGGCATGGACTTCTGTGGCATCGATCTCCTCATCATGGATGACGGCTCCTTTGTGGTGTGTGAGGCAAACGCCAACGTCGGCTTCCTAGCCTTCGACCAGGCGTGCAATTTAGATGTGGGCGGCATCATCGCAGACTACACCATGTCCTTGCTGCCCAATAGGCAGACTGGCAAGATGGCCGTCCTCCCAGGGCTGTCCTGTCCCAGGGAGAAGAAAGAGCCAGATGGCTGCGCTTCAGCTCAGGGAGTTGCAGAGAGCGTCTACGCCATCAACAATGGGTCTACCTCTAGTGAGAGTGAGCCTGAACTGGGAGAGATCCGGGATTCCTCAGTGAGCACAACGGGGGCCCCGCCCCCCATGCTGCCCGAAGCCGGCTACAACATTAACAACAGGATTGCTTCCGAATTAAAACTTAAGTGAATTCCTGCTTTTTGGCAGCATTTAAACCAAATCCTACTGCTTCCCTATAGTTTTGAGTGAATAAAATCTGGACTAATGTGATTTCATTTGCACAGAAACTAGAAAATCCCATCTGGGCACTCAGCATTCTTTCTAACGATGATTTAAGCGAACGGCTTAGCTTCGTGGTTTTTACAGAGACTAATACAAAAACACTCACCAAGAGCAACATCCCGAGCTGTCGGCTGGAGCCCGAGGTCTGCCGCGAGCACTTGGATGCTACGGCCGCCTCTGAAGGCGCTGACTGTGCTGCTGCCTCTGGCTGTTACCAGCAGAGCCCAGGAACTCAGAACGGGTCCCGGAAGCGCTGCACTCAGGAGCCACCACCCGGTGGAGGGGGGCGTGCAGAAGAGACGCGACGCGACTGTGCTAACGAGCTCTTCACCAAGTGTGTGTGTGTGTGTGTGATGCTTGAAGAATACGCAGTTCAGTGTCTGCTCCCTGTCAAATCACCATCTTGGCCATATTTCTCTGACACTCAGGATATGGTGTTTTAGGGAGCTTCCTCATTAGCATTTTCGATGAAGCACTTTGTAGAAAGTTTGAGAGCGAGCGTTATCTGACGGCACCGGTTGGCAGATCTCCTGCTGCGGAACTGGGGCTTTCTACAAATTGCTTTGCCACGCCGAACTTACAGACCCTGCTTCAACTAATGCCAGCCCCAGCAGCCTCTTGCACCTTTGCTGCCTTTGGCCTCAGCTGGAAATGCACTTCAGTGAGCTAGTGGCCACACACTTTATTTCTTATGCGTGCACTAGAATCGAATGCCATGAACTTTCTTGTCAGTGGACTCTGTTCATTTGTCGTCCAGAAGCCGGTGGGTTTTTAATCATAGAAAGCTACTGGAAGATAATCATTTCCCCCTTCTCTCCTAAACTTTGCGTACTGCTTAGCTCTAGAAGGTTTCCTTGAATGCATTGGTGTAGTGGGCCTGTTGGGTAGATAGAGCCATTGGAAACACACTCTAATCGCCTTGACATTCTAGTCCTGGCCAGGTTCCTGAGACCTGTCTTTACCCACTTTTTCCATACTGGGGAGACTCAGGAATTACTCACCACCTTCAGGGGGAGGGCGGTTAGATAACGTAGGCGGGACACCAAGTGCTTTTCATTTTAACTGTTTAAGCAGTAGATAATGATCCTTCCCTTGGGTGACATCGTGGAGATGGAGTTTTCCATTTCTGCCTATGTGAAGTATGAGAATGAGCAAGACTCCCTTTTCAACCAAATACACTAAAATGTAAGCACTCAAGAGTTACCATAATCCTTGTCATTTCCTTAGGAGACTATACTCTTGAGCTGTGATGTTGCATGTGCCCAGGACAGAAGTCCTCTTTGGAATTATCTCTGAGGTCTTGCAAGGCAAGAGGCCTCACAGCCTTAAAATCAGACTTCAGTTCTCACACCAACCCTCCCCAGAGGTGGTCCCAAACTCTGTCATCCTGTTTATTTTTCAGACTTACCTTCTAATGCTCTTTGGCTATTAAAAAAAAAATCATCCCTCAAAAAATAAGTCTGCCCATAAAGGATAACAATGAGAAAGCGTACAAGTGGACAGTTTCCAAGGAAGGCTCTAGAGATAGTCACGGACTAAACGTCCATCTTCCCCAGGTGACTAGTTTGAAGGCAGCAACACCCATTTGGGTGTATAAATTCCTGTATTTACTCTGCTGTAAGTATAAAATGTGTATAAAGTCAAAACTATTAACATTTTTTTTTCACAACACATTTAAATAGAAATTGGCTTTTAAAATACTGTGGCTAAAAGCACATCTCACCAAGTAACACTTAGACAATTGAGAAACGTTCGGCTCCATGTCTTGGAGATACCGCCCTACAGAATTGTAGTTCAGATGCTCCGACATAGGGTGCATGCCACTCAGTTGTAACTCTAGTAACGTGTCTTGTACAGTTGACAAATAATACTTCACTTTTATGCAGGTTAAGACATTTATTTACCTTACCTCTACCACTCAGGGTGGGTTTAGAAGGATAGTTCTAGGTCTGTTCTTGTTGGAATTGTCCGAATACTTTCTGTGTAAACATCTGAACCAAGTGATGACCTTCTGGAAGCTGCATTCATTCATTCCCACTGTTCAGTGTAAGCCCAGTCTCCCCACTTGATCTAAAAGAACGCTAGAAGGCCCTGTCCTGAATGGAGCACCGAGAGGATGCTTCCGGATTGACTTGTCAAAGGGGGCCCATCTTCCAGCTGCTAATGACATCTATAGTCATTGGCACCATTGCTTGAAATCTGGCCCAGCCCGGAAGCAGAGATAGCTAGATCACACCTGGATCACAGCTCCCGCTTCCCTACACACCCGCCAACCCCTGGATTTCCCAGACCGGCCATGGTCCCTGTGAGCCTTGGTCATGGGTCTAGGCCACACTCATTCCAGCTGTCTGCAAGGCCTGCTGCTGGAAGGAACATGGGACACAGAGCCAGTTCCTGGTTCTGGCTCTCCCCTTAAAGAGCTGACAACCTTGCACAGTCCAGGAGGCTCTGCCTCCCATTTTTCCCCTTCTATTAGGGGAGATGGCTGTTTACCTCTTGAGGGTGCTTTGAGCTTGAAGTGAGTTGATCAATGAGACTGTGCACCATGCGGGAGGTAGTAGAAGAACACCTCCCACAACTGGTTTTGTAAGTTTCTCATCATCCCTCTTCTGAGGGAGTCAAGGGCCATGAGTTCTTGGCATCAGCACAGTAAACAGTGGTAGGGGGGGCCTGAAAAAAGGATGCAGCTTCTCAGAGAGCTTTACCACCTGGAAGGAGTAAGGCTCTCAGTGTATCCACATAGCCTTCTGGATGTATCTGAACCTGAACCTGAAACTCCTGACTCTCCTATACCAACTAACAGTCTTCCTTAATGTAACATAAATTGCAGTGTCTGTATATGGTCTTCCCATTACCTGATAGCATCTTGAAACTGGTCAAAACTTGAATGCCAATAGCTCCATCACTCAGAATATATATGATTCTGCACTTGGGAAAAATGTCTTCATGCTATCTGATTGCTGCGGGGTACGGTTTTTCGAAAATGTGGGTCTGGGGTTTTAGGTCTTTAAAACCTGATAAAACAGTGAAAGTGGATTATAAGCTCTTAACCACCACCATGGCAGACTCCTTGCTCCCAGCTAACGGGAGTCGGTGACAACTGCAGATGGGGCGAGGAGGAAAGGGAAAGAGACAGGTCTTGGGGTAGTTTTGTGACATTTCAGGGGAAGAAATAAGAAATTGGAATCGTTTGAAATTCCGGGGAGAAGGAAGAAGAAATGGCTCTTCTGGGGGTTGTTTAAACGAAAGAATGATGCACACGTATTCATTAGAGGAAGGGTTCCTTGAAACTATAAATGAACGACATGGATTCTCATTAGCTTTGGGGAAGTGGGAGAGACATGCCTTGGCCCTTCCTTAAGTCCTGACGAATGCTGGCCCTGATGCAAGTCCAGGGAGATGGAGGTGACTTGCTGGGGGCTCCAGGGTCCCCCAGGTAACAGGTGGTCCTTCTGCAAAAAACCGTGGGCAGGCAGGCCTGGAGCCGCAGTACCCTCAGGTGGGTCTGAAGAGCCACGGCCGAGTGAACCCGAAGCCGGCACAACAGGGCACCTCAGCTGAATGCTTCCCTTTGCCCCCGCAGCTGAGGCTCCTCTTTGCTGTCAGTCTCTGCAGATGTCTGGGGCTGAGCCCTGACAACAGTCATCTTTGTCACTGTCCCTGAAACTCGTGTCCTTGCGTCTGCCGCTACAGGCTAATAGCAAACCTCGTACTGTTCTTTCTCTGCGACTCGAGATCAGATCATGACTTTAAAATGCTTTTTCCCTGGAAGGCAGCCTCCCTACCTGCCCCCCCGCACCCAAACTCAGGAATATGTTGTTGGAATCGTTCCTGAAAACCGTATTATGCTTCCACTCCAAGTCTCAGGCCAGACCCTGCAGCCCTCCCTTCTAAAACACACAGCTGAGTGCAACTTTGTTCCTTCAAGCTTTTCAGCTTCCTTCTCCTGGTGTGGTTCCCATGCCGACATGTGGCACTCTCCTGGGCCCTGTGCTGGTGTCCCCACCCTGTCTGGTAGTCTCAATGCGCCATTTGGTGTTCACTGTGGCTCCGAGGCAACACTGAGAACGTCACCCAACAAGTCAGAATTTTTTTTTTTTTTAAGATTTTATTTATTTGGGAGAGATGGAGAGAGCATGGGCAGCGGGGTGGGGCAGAGGGAGAGAGAGACGCAGACTCCCCACTGAGCAGGGACCCTGGGATCATGACCTGAGCCCAAGGCAGAAGCTTAACCAACTGAACCGCCCAGGTGCCCCATCAAGCCAGATTTGAGGACACAGGAGTAACAGCACTGTGGACACCAGATCAGTCCCCATTTTATAGATGGAGGATCTGAATCCTAGAGGCCAAGGTCACTTAGCTAGTCCGCAGTGGCGCTGGGATGCGGGCAGTCCCGTTTCCCATTCTGGTTTAGCAAACTGCCCTCGGTGGCTGTGTTCTTAAGTGGTGCTTAGCACTTGCCGTCATCTGGGACTCACCCTCGGCCCTTTCTCCTGCCGAGCCTCTCTGGATCCACGTGGTGTTGATGGGCCGGCTCTGTAGGCTTCATCTTTCGGATGGCTTTAAGTGAGAGCCCTGGAGGCGTATATGAGATTTAGGGTGCAAACTGGCATATGGCTGGGCCTTCAGACCCGCCAAAACCGTTTAGCCCCAGCTCACCCAATCCGTGCTCAGTGAGAGGGGGAAGGCCCCTGCCGAGCTGGCTGAAGGCTCCTGTGGCTGGCATGTCCCCACTGTGGAATGTCTTGGATGTGTGGAGGACTCTCTGGGCTTCCGCAGAGGTCAAGGGCTTGAAGGCCCCAAACTTCTCCCACTGGGCACTCCAGCAGGGGGTCCTGATTGAGGCCCATGTTCCAGTGGCCGTGAGCCACAAAGTCCAAAGTGTCCTCCCACTTCAGTTCCGCAGCACGTTCACCTGGGGCCAGCCACTAGGCCAGATTCTTCCCTCCTGTAGCCCATACGTCAGCCGGGGCCCATGGAGCCCCTGAGATCCAGGTGTGTCTGATAACTGGGCCTTTGGATGTCTGTGATCTCCAAGGCGCTGATACTTGGGCAGCCACAGCTGACGCCAGACTTCTGCTACCTCAGTTTAAGCCCTGACGGGGTCTCCTCCCTGCAGTCCATCAATGACACGAAGCTTAGTTCTCTCCCATTTCCACACACCACGAAATTCAAATGCGCCCGTGTGTGGGGGCACATGTGTGTTGCAGTGATGTGGGAAGAGATAGAAATTACAGAAATGCAGACACGGAACCCCCTTTGTAAAGTGTTCTTCGGATACACCACCAAGGAGCCCATCACCTCGCACCCCACCTGTTGCCCTGTTTGGGACAAAATCCACTGACGTTCTCCTTTGTAGCAGCATGGCCAGTCCTTTCCTAGCTTGAGTCCTGCCAATGCCCTTACCTTCGAGATATCCCCTTCCCCAATGGGTGGCTTATTAAAAGCATTTTCCTAAACAAAGATGGCTCCCTCAAGAGGAACTCCAGCGTCATCTCTCAAGGTGTTAACATTTTTGACTTGCACTACATTACCCAGGCACAGCAGCAACTAGAGTCCCTGCCACCAGGGTCTTCATGCTCCGTGGCAGGCAACACGGGCTAACGTCAATAATGCCAGTTTTTTGTTTTTTTTTTTTGTTTTTTTTTTTTAAGCAGAGATCACAAGTAGGCAGAGAGGCATGCTGAGAGAGAGAGGAAGGGAAGCAGGCTCGCCACCGAGCAGAGAGCCGGATGCGGGGCTCGATCCCAGGACCCTGGGATCATGACCTGAGCTGAAGGCAGAGGTTCAACCCACTGAGCCACCCAGGTGGCCCAATAATGCCAGTTTGAGTTAGACAGCCCTGGTGCCAATCCTGACTCCATAACCTATAACTCATGTGATCTCGGGAGAGGCCCTTGATCTTGCCAAACCTTCGTTTCTCTACCTACAAATGTGGTAATACACACTCGTGAACGTGAAGCATTGAGCCACATGCCTGGCTTTTTCCGCAGCTTCTTTCCCGCTGTCAGCAATCACAAGCAGCTCTCGCCCGTGACCGTGGCTCCGTGCCAAGGGAGGAGAGCCGGCAGACGCAGCTTTATGGCTGGTGGGGGAGGAGGGCTGGCTGCTGCTCCTTCTCACCGTGGTCCTGGCTTCACCATTGGAAGTTTCCGTCTGCCCTTGAGATCCGAGGATGCAATAGTGTGAGATCTAGATGGTGCATTTGG